TGCCACACCTAACTGCATCAACACTTTGGCAGTCTCATAGGACTGTCCACCTGGACCTACTCACTCCTTCATTTTACTTGTCCTTCAGGCATTAGAAGACCTTGCCATCGTTCTTAATGGAATACCGCTCTTATATATCAAAACACTGTGGGCAGGTCCTGAGTCATTAATCCTAAAATTCTCACTACTAGGGCTGTTCTGTCCAAAGAGCAGGTATTCAATAAAGCTTTCGGAAATGAATGACCCGGTGAGCTTAAGGTATAATTTCTTAATATTTGTGTTTTTTTTTACATTCTTGAAATAGCCAAGCAAATTCATGCACATGTCATTTAATTTTAGAGAACAAGAGCGCAAAGGAATAAGAAAGCCAAGATTTCAATATCTTTTAGATTTTCTTCTTTATTTTTCTCTATTCATCTCAACTATCTTAGACTTCTTTCACATTTACAAGGAAATGCCTATAGCAATGCCATGTTATCTTACTCCAGATGACAAAATAAGATGGATGGTTTCACAGTCTGTTTTACAAAACAATAAATCTCTTATTTGTAAACGTCATTATAGCATGAAATGTGTGACCAATGTAATTTATAAACTTGAAGATGTTGATGGTAATATATATTTAAGAAACAATATTTGAATGATATATACATCAAAAAAGAATACATTTTGAAGTAACACATATAATATAGGAAGACACAGGCTTATATACTGTCTTCCTTTCACTCTCCCCTCAGACTTAAATTCTATTAAACACTAAGTTCCTCTTCTAAAACTGCATGAAAAAAAATACCCCTGGACTTCCCTAGCTCTGGAAGAAGCTCCTAGCCTTGGCATAGAACTTGCAGTGGCCATGGAAGGACAGATAGCTCTGCCTGAAATTCTGGCTTGTTTTTTTTGTTGACATTCAAAAGCATCTGTGCTTCCATAATAGGCTCTTTCATTTTATACTTCAGCTATAGAAATGGTACTAAAGAAGAGACTTTCTTAATTACAGGGTGCCTCTACAAGAATGGGCTTCCTTGGCGGCTCAGGCAGTAAAGAATGTGCCTGTACTGCAGGAGACATGGGTTTGATCCCTGGGTCAGGTAGATCCCCTGGAAAAGGAAATGGCAACCCACTCCAGTATTCTTGTCTGGGAAATCCCCTGGATAGCGGAGCCTGATGGGCTACAGTTCATGGGGTGGCAAAGAGTTGGACACAACTGAGCGACCAACACTTTCACTTTCACTTTGTACAAGAAAGCTTATAAAGTGCTCGTTTTCCCTTCCTGGCTCTGTCGGTGCCTTAATCACTTATTGTACATGATACAGCTGCAGGAGCAGTGATGGTGGATGTGACCCTCCAAGATCCCTGGCGAGTGCTAATTATCCTTAAAACAGGCAAGTCTGAGGAATACTCTTATAAAGAAGTAAGAAGGAGAAGTAGGACTCTTCTCCAGCTGTGAAGGCACGTCAGACCACCCAGATCCTACCTCGCACCTCAGATGTATGTAGCCACAGCAGCCTACAGCCTCTCCAGACTACCAGCAGGGGCAGATCTTTGCTTCATGACTCAAGTTCCAGAGCATGTGGTCCACTCAGATCTCTGTACTTGGAGTTCTGACTGCTGATAAGCTCTGTGGATAGTATTACCTTCCCTGTATGGGCTGAGATTTTTGCCCAACTCTTACACAGCGTGAGTCAGGGTCCCAAGCACAGTAGAGAAGCTGAAGCACAAGGCAGGAGCCCTAAGATTAAGGATGGGCTGTCAGAGAAAAAAACATGTTGATCTAGTCCTTCCTTTTATTCTATAGAATTACTATCCTAAAGACCTTCTTTCTTAAAGATGCATTTGTTGTTGTTATTTAGTCATCAAGTCATGTCCAACTCTTTTGCGACCTCATGGACTATAGCCTGCCAAGCTCCTCTGTCCATGGGATTTCCCAGGCAAGAATACTGGAGGGGGTTGCAATTTCCTTCTCCAGGGGACCTTCCCAACCTAGGTATCAAAGCCCTGTCTCTACATTGGCAGGCGGATTCTTTACTACTGAGCCACCTGAGAAACCCAAAGGTGTATTTGCTACATAGAAAAGGCAGATACATAGGATTTTGTGAGGCTGTACATTTTTTTAATGTAAAGTTTATTTTATTTTTATTGGAGTGTAATTGCTTTACAATGTCGTGTTAGTTTCTGCTATACAACAACATGAATCAACTATATGTATGTACGATTGAGGGCAGGAGGAGAAGGGGGCAACAGACGATGAGATGGTTGGATGGCATCACTGACTCAATGGACATGAGTGTGAGCAAACTCTGGGAGACAGTCAAGGACAGAGAAGCCAGGCACGCTGTGGTCCATGGGGTTGCAGAGTCGGACACAACTAGGTGACTATACAGCAACAACTATACCTATACACATATATGTGTATAAACCCTCCCTTGTGAGCCTCCTGCCCACTCTGCCCCTCTAGGTCATCACAGAGCACCGAACTGAGATCCCTGTGCCTACACAGCAGTGCCCCACTAGCTAGCTATTTCACACGCGGTAGTGTATGTATGTCAATCCTAGTCTCCCAATTCGTCTCACTTTCCCCTTCTCTACCTGTGTCCATATGTCTGTTCTCTACATCTGTATCTCTATTCCTGCCCTGCAAGTTGGTTCATCTTTACCATTTTTCTAAATTCCATATATATGCATTAATATATGATATTATGGGCTTCCCTGGTGGCTCAGATGGTAAAGAATCCGCCTGCAATGCGGGAGACCTGGTTTTGATCCCTGGGTGGGAAGATACCCTAGAGAAGGCCATGGCAATCCACTCCAGTATTCCTGCCTAGGAGATCCTATGGACAGAGAAGCCTGGTGGGCTACAGTTCATGGGGTTGCAAAGAGCTGGACACAACTGAAGTGACTTCGCATGCATTCTACAACATTGCACTGTCTAGTGTAGTGACTTAAAATTACCATTATTGGGACTTCACAGGTAGTCCAGGGGCTAAGATTTCGTGCTCCCAATGCAGGGGACTTGGGTTCAATCCCTGGTCGGGGAACTAGATCCTGCATTGTTCAGCTAAGAGTTCACATGACACAACTAGAGATCCTGCAAGCTGCAAACTAAAGAACCCACATGCCACAACAATGAAGATCCCACATGTCGCAACCAAGAACCAGTGCATCCAAAATAAATAAATAAATAAAAATATTTAAAATTGCCATTATCCATAAAAATATATAAATAATAAAAATACCTAGCCTCATTATATATGATTCTTTCTGATATTCTCTGTCCTAGTCTAGTCTTTATATTTCAAGATCATTCTTTCATATTCTATTGAAATAATAATAATTAAAGGTCAGTTCTCACCCATTAAAGAGGCTTCAGGTGGTTATTACATCCTCTGGGGTCACTCATACTGCCTCCAGCAGTTCAAATTTTATACTCTCCTGATATGATGCTATTGATACTTGATGGCAGCTGTGATTTCTGTTGCCACCTCATATTCCTGCAGTGAAAAAATAGAAATTCACTGTACTAAGATACAATTGCAATAGCTGAAAAGGAACTTAAAATGTATGCTCTGAACTATCTTATCATCTGTCTTGTACTGTAGACTTCAGTCTCACCACAACTTCATGGCATGCCCCTCTTCTCCATTGTGAAAAGTACTCATACTTGACTTCAATCCATCAAATCAAGTATCTCTGTATTAGACCTAATGAACCCTGAAATATTTTTGCTCTGTGAACAGCATTAAGAAAAGAAAATTGCAATACACGGAGTGGGAGATAATATTTGCAAATCACATATCTGTAAAAGGGCTCTTTCCCTAAATAAAAAAAGAACTCTCTAAATCCAATGGTAATAAACAGAGTCTAATTTAAAAATTGGCGTAAGACCTAAATATATGCTTTACCAAAGAGGATACCAGATAAGCAGATGAAAACCTGAAAACACATTACATATCCTTTAAGGAAATGTAAACTTAAACCACTGAGATAACATTACGTATCTATGAAAATGGCTTTAAAAAATACTAAAACTACCCTGTCCTGGTGAGGATGTGGAGGGACTGGTGGAAATGTGAAATAGTCCACAGTCTCCGGAAAATCTTTCAGAAGTTTCTAATACAGTAAACTTATGTTTGAACAGGTACAAAACTGTATATTTTCATAGAGAAATAAAAATTTATACTCACACACAAAAAATCTGCATCCTAATTTTTATAGCCGCTTAATTTGTAATAGCCAAATACTAGAAGCATATCAAATTCCCTTTTATTAGGAATGGATAAGACTGTGATACATATCATGGAATATTATCTTACAATAAGAAAGAAAAGACAAGTGTACATGTTACAAATGGGATCAATCTGGAGCTTATAATGATGAGTGAAAAAAAGCGCCAATCTTAAAGGTATCTTACCTTCTCTAAGATAAGAAACCTTATATTCTCTAATTTCCTTTACAATTCTCAAAAGGACAAAATTAAATAGGTATGTGTGTTTGCAGGTTTACTCAGTCTTTGAATCTTAATTTTATTTTAATGCATTTGAAAGTTTGGTTTGCTCTTTTCAGACATTAGAATGCTGTAATTATTTAGATATTACTTATGACTTATACAACTTGTGGTGAAGATGGAGTAACTGTGACTAGATTTATGAACTTGTCTGAAACAATGGAAAAATAGATAAAATATATGAGAACAACAGTCAATATATTGGACATCACCCCATAAAAGGCAGTGATCACTGAGAGAGGAAAACAAAGGATGTGACCCTGTAATTTCCCAAGCTTACTGCCTGGACCAGGTGGAACCCAGGTGGAACCTGGGTTCTCTATGAGTTGATGAGATGAAGCTAAGCGTCTGGGAAGGACTACTCAGGTAGAGTTCCTAAGAGAGAGTAGCAGAGAGGACAGTGCTGCACAGAGAAAGAACTGTGGTGCCCACACAGGGCAGGGAGTACTTCCTCTCAGAGTGATAAACAATAGGATTCATGGGGCATCAGCAAGAGTACTGAAAATTGTTTTATCTCAGTGGTGTCGTGAGTTAAGCCATAGCTAATTCTGCTCTGGTCCCAACTAACAAAAGTTGAAAGCAAGAACAGAAAGGGGACTTCTCTGGTGGTACAGAAGATAAAAACCAGCCTGCCAATGCAGAGGACACAGGTTCAATCCCTGGTCTGGGAAGATCCCACATGCTACAGAGCAACTGAGCCTGTGAGACACAATGACTTAGGCCACATGCTGCAACTCCTGAAGCCCGTGAGCCTAGAACCTGTGCTCTGCAGCAAGAGCAGCCACCACAATGAAAGCTGTACACCATAACAAAGAATAATCCCCACTCGCTACAACTAGAGAAAGCCTGTTTAATGAAAATAAATTAATTAAAATTAAAAAAAGATTATTTTGTTTCTAAGTAACTTCACAGCATTACAAAACAAATCTTGAGTATACTGATGTATTGAAATTTAAAGTAAATCTATATTACACTGAATAGTTAAAAAATCATCTTCAAAAATAAGGACAATGCTGGAATATCATGCCGCCCTATTTCAAACTATACTACAAAGTTCCAGTAATCTAAATAGAATAGCACTGCAAAAAAAAACAAGATACATAGTTCACTAGAACAAAATAGAGACCACACTTTTAGGCCCAATTAATCTATGACAAAGGAAGAAAGAGTATACAATGGAGAAAAGACAGCATCTTCAATGAATGCTGTTGGGAAAAATGAACAGCTACATGAAAAAGGATGAAACTTGATCACTTTCTCATACCATATACAAAAGCAAAAAATAGACCAAAGACTTAAACATAAGACCTGAAATCATAAAATTCCTAGAAGGAAATAGTATATTCTTTAACATCAGTCTTACCAATATTTTTTAGGACCTGTCTCTTAAGTCAAGGGGGGAAAAAAAAGAAAAACAAATAAAAACAAAAAACCCAAATGGGACTCAGTTCAGTTGCTCAGTCATGTCTGATTCTTTGCAACCCCATGGACTGTAGCACGCCAGGCTTTCCTGTCCATCACCAACTCCCGGAGTTTACTCAAACTCATGTCCATTGATTTAGTAATGCCATCCAACCATCTCATCCTCTGACATCTCCTTTCTCCTCCCACCTTCATTCTTTCCCAGCATCAGGGTCTTTTCAAATGAGTCAGTTCTTCACATCAGGTGGCCAAAGTATTGGAGTTTCAGCTTCAACATCAGTCCTTCCAATGAACACCCAGGACTGATCTCCTTTAGGATGGACTGGTTTGATCTCCTTGCAGTCCAAGGGACTCTCAAGAGTCTTCTCCAACACCACGGTTCAAAAGCATCAATTCTTCGGTGCTCAGCTTTCTTTATAGTCCAATTCTCACATCCATACGTGACTACTGGAAAAACCATAGCTTTGACTAGATGGACCTTTGTTGGCAAAGTAATGTCTCTGCTTTTTAATATGCTGTCTAGGTTGGTCATAGCTTTTCTTCCAAGGAACAAGCGTCTTTTAATTTCATGGCTGCAATCACCATCTGAAGTGATTTTGGAGACCCCCAAAATACAGTCTCTCAGTTTCCATTATTTCTCCATCTATTTGCCAGGAAGTGATGGGACCAGATGCCAAGATCTTAGTTTTATGAATGTTGAGTTTTAAGCCATCTTTTTCACTCTTCTCTTTCACTTTTATCAAGAGGCTCTTTAGTTCTCCTTCGCTTTCTGCCATAAGGGTGGTGTCATCTGCATATCTGAGGTTATTCATATTTCTCCTAGCAATCTTGATTCCACTTGTGCTTCATCCAACTTGGCATTTCACATGATGTACTCTGCATATAAGTTAAATAAGCAGGGTGACAATATACAGCTTTGACGTACTCCTTTCCTGATTTGGAACCAGTCTGTTGTTCCATGTCCAGTTCTAACTGTTGCTTCTTGACCTGCATACAGATTTCTCAGGAGGCAGGTCAGATGGTCTGGAATTCCCATCTCTTTCAGAATTTTCCATAGTTTGCTGTGATCCACACAGTCAAAGCAGATGTTTTTCTGGAACTCTCTTGCTTTTTCGATGATCCAAAGGATGTTGGCAATTTGATCTCTGGTTTCTCTGCCTTTTCTAAATCCAGCTTGAACATCTGGAAGTTCACGGTTCATGTACTGTTGAAGCCTGGTTTGGAGAATTTTGAACAATACTTTGTTAGCGTGTGAGATGAGTGCAATTGTGTGGTAGTTTGAACATTCTTTGGTATTGCCTTTCTTTGGGATTGGAATCAAAACTGAGCTTTTCCAGTTCTGGTGCCACTGCCAAGTTTTCCAAATTTGCTGGCATACTGAGTGCAGCACTTTCACAGCATCATCTTTTAGGATTTGAAATAGCTACCTGCAATTCTATCACCTCTACTAGCTTTGTTCGTAGTGATGCTTCCTTAGGCCCACTTGACTTCGTATTCCAGGATTTCTTGCTCTATGTGAGTGATCACACCATCCTGATTATCTGGGTCATGAAGATCTTTTTTTGTATTGTTCTTCTGTGTATTCTTGCCACCTCCTCTCAATATCTTCTGCTTCTGTTAGGTCCATACCATTCTGCCCTTTATTGTGCCCATCTTTGCATGAAATGTTCCCTTGGTATCTCTAATTTTCTTGAAGAGATCTCTAGTTTTTCCCATTCTATTCTTTTCCTCTATTAAAGTAAAAAGCATCTGCATAGAAAAAGGAAACCATCAACAAAATGAAAAGGCAACCTACTAAATGGTAGAAGATGTTTGCAAATAATATATCTGAGAAGGAGTTATTATCCAGGATTGAGAAAGAACTCACACAACTCAACATCTAAGTAAAAAACGGGCAGTGGACCCAAATAGACAGTTTTCTAAAGAAGACATGCAGATGGTTAACAGGCATATGAAAAATGCTCAATATCGCTATTCATCAGAGAAATGCAACTAAAAACCACAATAAGAAACCACCTCCCATCTGTCAAAATGGCTATCATCAAAAAGACAACAAGCAACAAATCTTGCTGAGTCTGTGAAATAAAGGAAAACTTCAGACATTTGTTGGAATTGTAAACTGATACAACCACTATGGGAAAATGTATGAAGATTTCCCCCAAAATTGAACATAGAGCTATTGCATCATTATCTACCTGAAGAAAACAAAACCAGTAATTCTAAAAGATACAGTCGCAACAATGTTTACTGCAGAATTATCTACAATAGCCAAGATATGGGAGCAACCTAAGTGCTCATTAATTGATAAATGGATAAAAATGAAGTGGCATACACAAGAGAATATTATTCAACCATTAAAAAATGAAATCTTGCCATTTAGGACAACATGGATGGATCTAAAGCATATTATGCTAAGTGAAATTGTGAGACAGATAAAGACAAATATAGGATTCCACTTATATGTGTAACCTAAAAAAACAAAATAAAAATAGACTCATAAATACAGAGAACAAAAGGGTGGTTGCCAAAGTGGAGGTGGTGGGGTTTTAGGCAAAATAAGTGAAGAGGATTAAGAGATACAAACTCCCAGTTATAAAATAAATAAGCCCTGGTGATGTATTATATAGCACAAGGAATTTGGTCCACACTATTACAGTAATTTTTTATGGGATGAGAGTTACTAGACTTACTGTGGTGATCATTTTATAATGCATGTAAAGGTTGAATCAGTATGTAGTTAACCTGAAACTAATATTACATCAACCATACGTCAATAGAAAATAAATTTTTAAAAGTTGTATTTCTTACAGGAAAGTGTAAATTAGGTAAAATTGCAATTTCATAACATCTGGCATTCAATCAAATATTACCAGGACTGGGGAGAAGGAAGAATATAATACTAGGAGAAAATGAATCAATCAAAACTGACCTGGACTCCACTCCGGGCAGAGCAGAAATGGCGTCTGCCCACGGGGTCGGGGAGGCGGCGCAGAGCGGGGAGCCGGGTCAGCCGGAGCTGCTGCTGCCCCAGCCGCATCCTCCGCCTCCCAGCTGCCGCAGGAAGAGGCGGCGGCGTCCCCTATGGACGATGGTTTTCTGAGCCTGGACTCACCCACCTATGTCCTGTACAGGGACAGGGCAGAATGGGCTGATATAGATCCAGTGCCGCAGAATGATGGCCCCAATCCAGTGGTCCAGATCATTTACAGTGAGAAATTTCAGGTCTGTGATTATTTCCGGGCTGTCCTGCAGCGCGACGAGAGAAGTGAATGGGTTTTTAAATTAACCAGAGATGCTATTGAGTTAAATTCAGCCAATTACACAGTGTGGCATTTCTGGAGAGTTCTCTTAAAGTCACTCCAGAAGGATCTACATGAGGAAATGACCTACATCTCGGCAATAACTGAGAAGCAGCCCCAAAACTATCAAGTTTGGCATCATAGGGGAGTGCTGGTGGAATGGCTGAGAGACCCATCACAGGAGCTGGAATTTTTGCCGGTATTCTTACTCAACATGCAAAGAATTACCACACCTGGCAACACCAGACAGTGGGTTATCCAGGAATTTAAACTTTGGGATAATGAGCTGCAGTATGTAGACCAACTTCTCAAAGAGCACGTGAGAAATAACTCTGTCTGGAACCAAAGATACTTCGTAATTTCTAACACAATGATCATGCTATATTGGAGAGAGAAGTTCAGTACACTTTGGAAATGATCAAACTAGTCCCACATAATGAAAGTGTGTGGAATTATTTGAAAAGGATTTTGCAGGATCGTGGTCTTTTCAAATATCCCAATATGTTAAATCAATTACTTGACTTACAACCAAGTCACAGCTCCCCCTACCTAATTGCCTTTCTCGTGGATATCTATGAAGACATGCTAGAAAACCAATGTGACAACAAGGAGGACATTCTTAATAATGCATTAGGGTTATGTGAAATCCTAGCTAAAGAAAAGGACACTATAAGAAAGGAATATTGGAGATACATTGGAAGATCCCTTCAAAATAAACAGCACAGAAAGTGACCCACCTACAAATGTACAGCAATAACACCATCATGACCAACTTGATGGGATGCTTTTATTTTTTTAAGAGACTCTAATGAAGGAGTTAAAAACTAGAGCGATCATTTCTTTTGCCTGTGGTGTAAAACATACAGCACACAGGTACTGCTTTTTAACAGGAACTGTGTGCGTGCTCCTTGGATGCGGCTGTTATTCAGACTAGTTCCAAGTAACTTCATTTTTTTTTTTTCTTAAGCAGAGAATTTTGGGGAGGAAGAGGAAGCAGAAAAGTCCCATAAAGGAACTTTTGTAGTCTTATCAACATTTACTCTAACCGCTTAGCATCAACTCTTCCCTGAATGGTTTATGTGTCAGGATGTGCAGCGTTAATGTTTGCAGGTATGTAGATATAAGTAACTTACCTTCTGGTTCAGAAAGCAGAGAATGCAGCTGTTACATTAGAGCTGCTATGCCACGCTCACAGCATCTTGCTCTCACTGTAACCAACTAATGCCAAAAGAACGGTTTTGTAATAAAATTATAGATGTATTCTAAAACAAACAGAAAAACTGACCTGGAAATGATATGGATGATCGAATGAGTAGACAAGAACAGAACAGTCACTGTAACTGTATTTTATTTGTTCTGGTGAATTTTGCCCTGTTTGTTCTACTGGAAACAGGTATAGCTTACAGAGGAGGACTGAAAAACTGGCCAGCAGGTCAGGTTTCAGTTTGGACAATGGGGTCGGACACTGTATTGCAGAGAGAACCGGAGCTGATAAAATGCTAGCCTCTGGGCAGAGTGGGCTCTCAAGGAACACTCTGAAGGGCTGGGATAGAAGATCCTAGGTAGACGAAGCGCACAGACAGTCCTCAAACTTTGTTTCTTGTTTCAACCTTTATTCTTTAAATTTACTTTAAGTTCCTGGCTACTACATTCTTCTTTCTTTATTCTGAGAGGCACTAAGGGGTAGTGAGGAGAGAGGTAAGAGGCAGAAGATCTGCTTCAGGCTGGGGAGAGTGGAGCAGAGTCTGCTCTGGATGAATTCGAGTAAGAGGTCTAGTGGCAGCTCTGTCACAAACTAGATACATGAAGTCAGAAAAAAATCACAGGCTCTTTGAGCCTGAGAATCTTCATATGTGAATTTGGCTTTATAATTCCATTTTATAAGACTTTCGTAATGTGTATGAAGTATACAAAACACATGGCACAGTGCCTGGCGTATCATAGGGCTTTGATGGATGAGAGTTATTGCTGTGACTAAGTTGACTGCAAATCCTAACCCCCTGCCTGTCTTTGTCCGTGTGTGTGTATGAGTGTGCATTGTCTAGGTACAGGCTTTCTCAGAAAACATAAAGTGCTATGGGATATAGTATGTCAAATCAGACCAAATCAGTCAGACTGTCTTCCCAGCTAGATGTAATTGAAATTTCCTAGAATTTGTGTCAAGGATGAACCTCTTCCCTCTCTCCCAGTCACCATTTGTAGGGCTTCATAATATATTAGTCCTTCCTTCTCTGTGTGTTACCTACAGTGGATGACTGAAACTATATATATATAATGTTTCTTCCCATTCATGCCCATAATAAAGTTCAACTCACAAACCAGGCACAAACCAGCCAGCATCACTAATCTTGTACTTTGGGCTACTAAACAAAATAAGGGTTATTTGAACACGAGCTCTCTGAAACAGTAGTCAATGGGATAACAGAGTCTGTAAGTCTACTACATGACTAACAGGAGTAATATGCTGCACAAAGGGGATCCTGTCCCAGGAGGATGGAGCAGGACAGAATGAGATTTAATCACAATACTCAGAACTGTGAGCAATTTAAATTTTGTGAATCATGTATTTCTGAAATTTTGCATTTATATTTTAATAGTTAGGACCACAGTTGACTGTGGGTAAGTGAAATATTAAAAAGCACAACCAGGGGCCTTCCCTGGTGGTCCAGTGGCTAAGACTCTGCAATCCCAGGGCAGAGAATCTGGGTCTGATCCCTGGTCATGAAATTAGATTGTGCATGTTGCAGTTAAGAGTTCCCATGTTGCAATTAAAGATCCCGTATGCCACAATCTAAAGATCCCACGTGCCGCAACTAAGATCTGGCACAAATAGAATTTAAAAAACAACCAGGATAAGGGGGCACTACCAAATTTCACCCTCAAAATTCCACTTTGGCATATTGGTTATTTTGAATTGAAGGTACTTGAGAAATAGTTGGCCCTCCTTTGTCCCCCTGAAAGTATAAAATAAATCTCCAATATGAAATGTACTCTCCCTGTACCAGGACAGTAAAAGATATCTGTATCAGTAGAGACAGAGAACTGAGAGCCAAAAAGACTGTATAAACAAACATTGTTACTACTTGGCCATTTACTACACTTAGTCCAAACGCCTTTGTCACATCAATGCTTCACAAATTTGTCTAAAAGCTTCCTGCTTGAGTCACTTCTTTGAGTCTCATTTTTTGTGGTGTTCCCATATATACAAAATTAATTTGTTTTTCCCCTATTAATCTCTCCTTTTATTACAAGGAAGTTTCAGCCAAGAACTTAAAAGGGGACAGGGAAAATTATTTTTGTCTCCTCTATACCTCCCATGCAACCCTTCCCCCACTTTAACATTAATTTCAACCTGACCAAAATTTTAGCTCTCAAATCCCTTGCCAAATTACACTGAAGACAGCTTGATTAAATTCTTCTTTGATGGAGTGAGTGCTGGCTCTCCTAGGTGATGGCCAACTGTTAGCCCTGTGGCTTCTGTGTCTAATCTCAAGGGAGTATCTTCTGTATTTCTCAGAAACTCCTTAGAGGTGACATATACAAAACAAACAAACAAAATACTTAAGTTTGTGCATGAGTTCAGATGCACTGGGACAAGAATGCAGATCACATTCCATTCCTGATCCAAGTGAGAATTTCTCTCTGGTTTACCTGAGATCAAAAAGTAACAGCTAACAGCATTTTACATCTCTTGACACTGTCATTTTATCACTTGAAACACATCATCTGAGGGTTTTGTTCCTGTTCATGAAGCCATCAGCCTCATCTGACCCACCATTCAGTTTCATGTAAAATTAATTACCACGGAATGACTTAAAAATTTCTTTTTCCCCCGTCCTTCAATATTATCTATTTTTTATTTATGTATTTTTTAAAATTATACCGTCCTATTATTTTTAAACTTTTTAGGAAGATTGTATTTCCATTGAAAAAAATTTTATCCAATTTTAAAGGCTACTTTCCATTTTCAGTTATTACAAAGTATTGGCTGTATTCCCCATGTTGTACAATTCATCCTTGATCCTATCTTACAGCCAACACTTTGTGTCTCTTAATCCTTCACTCCTAATTGCCCCCCCCCCACCACACTGCTAACTGGGCTTCCCCAGTGGCTCAGCAATAAAAACATCCACCTTCAACAAAGGAGAAGTAGGTTCAATCCCTGGGTCAGGAAGATTCCCTGGAGAAAGAAACGGCAACCCACTCTAGTATTCTTGCCTGGGAAATTCCATGGACAGAGTTAGCCTGGCAGGCTACTGTTCACAGGGTTGCAAAAGGGTCAGACACAAGTTAGCAACTAAACAAGAACATTTCATACACATTCTTGAAAGAACGAGGCAAATTCATTGTACTTATCATTTAATTTTATAAAATAAACATTGAAAAGATAAGAGAACTAATATTTCAGTAACTTTTTTTCTTTGGATTTCATCTATCTTAAAGCCGATTTCTTTCACATTTGCAAGGAAATGCCTATAGCAGTGGGCTTCCCTGGTGGCTCAGCAGATGAAGAATCTATCTGAAATGCAGGAGATGCAGACTTGGCTTTGATCCTTGGTCTGGAAGATCCCCTGGAAGAGGGCTCAGCAACCCATTCCAGTAATCTTATCTGGAGAATCCCATGGACAAAGGAGCCTAGTGGGCTACAGCCCATAGGGTCGCAAACAGTCAGACACAAATGAAGTGACTTAGCACACATACACGCATGCCTACAGCAGTATCATGTTATCTTGTTCCAGATGACAAAATGGATAGATTCACAATTAATTTCTAAAACAACAGAGCTCTTACAATTAAATCTTATTATAACATGAAATGCATCATCAATAATCATAAAGTTTTGAAAGCAATTAAACCTCTATTAAAAGAATCATTTGAACAATGCATATATCAAAAAAGAATATTCAAGTTACACATACAAAATAGGGACACACGGTCATATACACTATTCTCCTTTCAGCCCCACCTCAAATCTAAATTATACGAACACAAACTGCTTCTTTGAACAATGCATGAAGAAACTATCCCTGACTCCCCTAATTGAGGAAGCAGCTGCTAGTCTGTACGTTAGAACTTGCAGTGGCGGAGACCCTTGGCTGAAATTCTGGCCTGAGCTTTCTCGTTTTCATCTTGCAAAGCCTCCTCATACTGAGATGGGAAAGAACTTGGGTCAGTCCCATGAATCTTGGCAACAAACTTTAGGACCTTCATCTTGGTGGTTTCGGCATGAGCTCTGGGGCCCCACAGGAACTCAAATTGCACAGGATCAGCGCTGGCCACCTGCCGGAACTCTAGGTATCCTTCCCTCACGAAATCTTTGGTGATGAGCTGCCTGGGTTCCCCAAAGATGAAGTGCTTCATCCCAGAATATAGCCCGGTCACATTCAGAACTTCCCAAACTTCTTCTTCGGTGGCACGGTTGCTCTTCATGAAGATCACACCCAGGACAAGTATCAGGATGCCGGTCTTGGGCACGCCTGCTTCACCATGCATCATGCCATCATAGGTGAGGCCCAATTTAATGAAAAGGCCATAGCAGTGGTTGATGGGATCCACTTCCTTCAGATCAAGGCCAAAGAGCATCTCCAGTTGCTCAGAGGCTCTCAGAAGGATCTCAGGGAAGTGGACTTCACAATCGCTGACGACAACCTTGAGCATATCTGCTTTTGTTACTGGCTCTTTCATTCGATACTTGAACAGCAGGACATTCACCAACATAGCTATTTCACTATTGAGAGCACCCACAGGCACATTCATGAAATCTGGCACAGCCTCTGAGGTGCCTGGCACAGCCTCTGAGGTGCTTGGACTATTCTCACCTTGATTCATGGAGACTTCACTTGATTTGCTGGATGCAGTGGCTGTGATGCCAATAGAAGATGCGGAGAAACCATGAGGATCCTCAGGAGTATTGGTTTTATCACCACCAGGAGCCTCCTTCAAATTTCCAGGCATTTGAAGGTAGGAGAAGATATGGATCTCCTCCAGAGCCCTTGAGATCTGTGCAATCTCCAGGTCCTGGGACTGAGTGAAGGCTTGAAGGGATTGATTCTGTGCACGTTGTGCACTCTTAAAACGCTTAGATAGTTTGATTCTTACGGGTGGCATTTGGCAGCAGTGTGGGCAATGGAAAATCACCACCTAAGGGAAAGAAGGCAGATATGAGTGGATTCAGCTGGTATACTCAACTGCGGTGGCTCAGATAAAAGTTGCCTTCAATGGACTTTTTTGCTAACAGTGCTGTAAGGGTCTCACAGGTTCCTGGCTGCTGTGTCCCTCACGAAGGAGGAATGTTAATGTTCCTCAGGGACCAGGCAGTCAACACAGGCTAAAAATTCTCAGGGATCACATAGGCAGGTGTATCGTGTCTCTGTAGCACCATTACCTTTCTGAAAAGGGTGGTTCCATCGGTCCTCACTCAGTTTCATCACTTTGGCCAGTGCCAGGATCTCTTCTCCCATGCTTAAATATGAGGCTATTCTCCTAAGACCAATTAATGTCACATCTGCTAAAATGACTGAGGAGGATGTGCTGAGCTACCTTCTCCAGAATCTCTGTGATTTCCCAGGGATGACAACAAAGTTAAAATTGTAGATGCTATCTCTGTTGGTGTTGTGGTCCCCCTAGTTTCACTTGGTTATGCTACTTTGAATCTACGTAAGTCTGGGGATCTCTGCCTGCTGCCATAACACTGCCACTCAGAACAAAGCCCTGACCTACTGAGATCTAACTGGGGTAATTAGAGGACACAGCCATTTGACATCCTTGCCCACAGACTCTCAGCACTGACAACAGTGCAAGGCTGAACTCTGTTATCCCTGTTCTACTGGGGTCAGTGTTCCCTCAGTATTCAGTCTTTGCCTTGACTACTGGCAGGGCCCCAGACTTGATCACTCTGCAAACTGGTGCCAATCTGTCTGCATACAAGAGTTCCCTATCATTCAGAGTCAGCCCAGGATGAACTGAGAAAGTACACTTTATAACTACCTCTACTAGGTCTTCCTTAGGCCAATAATAAGAACTAGACAATGTGGAGCTCCCTCTTTTCTTGGGTGGATTGACTCCTCAGACCTTATTCTTCATCCTTACTGTGACAGACCCTGGCCTCCTTCCTTTGCTGACCTCATATGATATAGGACGTAGACCAAGGACATCAGCTGTCTGTAACACTCAAGAAGGAAGAAAGCAGGGAAGCTGTCATGAGATCTTTGACCAGGTTCCCTAAGCTGGTAAAGTTCTGGGGCTCTTTGACAACCCTATATTCTGGGCTGGATTCCACTGTGTCTTTCTCTTGTGTCTCCACACAGACTATTGTACTGCCTCCTGATTTGAGCCACCTCCTTCACACTGTTAGGTAGTTAGAATAGGGAAAAGGAGTCCAGAATGGCGGTGGCTAAAAGACAAGGAAGAGAAAAGCCCGAGAAAATAGAACAAAGGAAGGACCTCGGATAGAACAAACAGCACTCCTGGCCCAATTTATATAGGACAGGCCCGGGGCAGGAGGGACATATAAAAAGAGGAGCCAAAGCTCGGTCTCTCTCTCTCCGGCATGCTGGGGCGCTCTTCTCTTCGCATCTTTGGATCGACGTGCCCTCACACTTCGAAGATGGATTTTCCTGCTATCTTCTAAATAAAATAGAGCTGTAACACTGAGCTGTAACACTGACTTGTCTAAGAGCTATAACATGGTCCGTTTGAGACCTGAGAGCTATAACACGGTCTGTCCAAGACCTGAGAGCTGTGACACACCGAGGGGGTTTTAATGTCCATCACTTCAAATCTTTGTTGTGACGAGACGAAAACCAAGGAGCATACACTCGCGTGACAAGACCATGACTGCCACCTCCCTAGAAGTGAGCTGATGAGACTTCCAGCCTTCCTAGCCTTGTCTAGGACATCCCTGGGAATGACTACAGAGTCACGACAGGTATATGAGAGTGTCCCATCTATGTTCGAGTAGATAGTCAGCTCTTGCTCAAAAAAATGTCTTTACTTTGAATCTTGACAGTGTATGAGAATCCTTCCCTCTGATGACCAGAAGTTGCTCCTCACACTAGAGAGTCATGCCCCTGCAACCTCTGAGGAAGTATTAAGAGGATCTGACATGCAGAGTTCCCAAACATGACAGATGAATACAGCTTTGTTCAGATCATAAGGTTCTAGACTTGATATCCCCATAAGCCTCAATTAGGATACTTTCCTTGACTTATAACAGGTAATGGGATCCCACATTGTGTTCACAAACCAGTCTTCATAACCCTGAATTCACCAAGCAGTAAATGTGGTGATGTTTCAGTTTGATAGCCCTGCATGGGGCCTCGCAAAGCTGACAGCAGATCTAAAATGACTTATGTTTGGCTCCTATCATCTGGGACAGGAGGTTCTCTCAGTCCTTTCTCGGGGGCTTTACTTTGGCAACTAGTAGGGCCTTAGTCATCACCTTCTGATAACAAAGCCCATCTCTGCCCGCCCCCCAAAAAAGTGAGATCTATTCACTGAGACAACTGAGAAAGAAAGGATGGGGAATCTTACCCAGTCACCACAGCAGGCTTACCAGTGTTGAGAGTATGGGTAAGATAATCTGGACCCCTCTGTTCTGGGGTTGGCAGGCCCCTCAAACCTTGTTTAGGGACCTTACCTTGGTCTTAACAGGCCTTGGGACTCATCCTTTGCTCACTTCATGTGCTAAGCCCTGTATATCCGAACACTCTCCTCACTGAAAGCCCAAGAAGGAAGAGGAGCAGCATACCATCCTGTCTGCTTCCCTGGACTGATGGTTAAGAGTGTATCCTTGTTACCACCGCCCCTCCACCCCGTCCTAGGGTAACTTAGGCTCTCCGTTCTAATTCTGTGTCTTAAGTTTCTGGAACCCCTTCTATTCTGTCCTTGGTAATCCCAAGGACCCCACTCAGATAAACACAAATCACTTCCTGAGCCCTCTGAAGACTAAAGTAGTATGTAGGAATTCCGACCACTCTTTCCTCAGACTTACAAGGGCTAAATGCAGAGGCAGAGTGAAGTTCATGGAGATCACACCTACACTGGAATGGTGTGCCCCATTCATTAGTCCTCATTCAATTCCTACATTGCTCTTGGCACTGTGTAAGACTCCTCTCCTGACCAGATGCCCATTCTTTTATGACTTCCAAACAGGAAGCAAGGGAATATTTCCTCTGGATATCCCTGTCCACAACCTCCTAGGATGACAATATCTGTGGACACTGTGGGATCACATGTGTCTGAGAGTGAATGTTTCCTCACTGATAACTCTGGGCTCTTACTGTGAATACTTTAAGCACTTGGGAATCCTCCTTCTGAATTAAAGATCTAAATATAAGATCAGAAACTATAAAACTCCTAGAGGAGAACATAGGCAAAACACTCTCTGACATAAATCACAGCAAGATCCTCTATGACACACCTCCCAGAATATTGGAAATAAAAGCAAAAATAAACAAATGGGACCTATTTAAACTTAAAAGCTTTTGTACAACAAAGGAAACTATAAGCAAGGTGAAAATACAGCCTTCAGAATGGGAGAAAATAATAGCAAACGAAGCAACAGACAAAGAATTAATCTCAAAAATATACAAGCAACTCCTCCAGCTCAACTCCAGAAAAATAAATGACCCAATCAAAAAATGGGCCAAAGAACTAAACAGACATTTTTCCAAAGAATACATACACATGGCTAACAAATACATGAAAAGATGCTCAATGTCACTCATTATGAGAGAAATGCAAATCAAAACCACAATGAGGTACCATTCCACGCCAGTCAGGATGGCTGCTATCCAAAAGTCTACAAGCAATAAATGCTGGAGAGGGTGTGGAGAAAAGGGAACCCTCTTACAATGTTGGTGGGAATGCAAACTAGTACAGCCGCTATGGAGAACAGTGTGGAGATTCCTTAAAAAAATGGAAACGGAACTGCCATATGACCCAGCAATCCCACTCCTGGGTATACACACCGAGGAAACCAAAACTGAAAGAGACATGTGTACCCCAATGTTCATTGCAGCACTGTTTATAAGAGCCAGGACATGGAACCAACCTCATTTCTTTAGACCAAGGCTCACAAATTCCTAAAACTGATGAAGTTATCTGATACATGCTCAACCTTTCTAGAGATCTCACATGCTTAGCCACAGGGTAATAGACGAGCTTGATGTTAACGGGCTGTTCTGGAATTGTTGCTGCTGTTCAGTCACTCAGTTGTGTCCAACTCTTTGCGACCCCATGAACTGCAGCACGCCAGGATACCCTGTCCTTCACTATCTCCCGCAGTTTGCTCAAACTCATGTCCCTTGAGTCAGTGATGCCATCCAACCATTTCATCCTCTGCATACCCCTTCTCCCCCTGCCCTCAATCTTTCCCAGAATCAGTGTCTTTCCCAAGGAGGTGGCTCTTTGCATCAGGTGGTCAAAGTATTGCACTTCAGCTTCAGCATCAGTCCTTTCAATGAATATTCAGGGTTGAATTCCTTTAGGACTGGCTGGTTTGATCTCCTAGCAGTGAAAAGGACTCTCAAGAGTCTTCTCCAGCACCGCGGTTCTAAAGCATCAATTCTTCAGCACTCAGCCTTCTTTATGGTACAACTCTCATATCTCTACATGACTACTGGGAAAACCATAGCTTTGATTATACGTGTGCTCCGAAATCACTGTGGACAGTGACTGCAGCCATGAAATTAAAAGATGCTTGCCATCACCCTCAATGGTGAAAAATTGAAAGCATTTCCCCTGAAATCAGGAACAAGACAAGGGTGCCCACTCTCACCACTACTATTCAACATAGTTTTGGAAGTTTTGGCCACAGCAATCAGAGC